CCGCCCCGCCCGGGGAGCTGAGCCCCGGTCAGAGAGGTGTCCATTTGTACCTGTCCCCCGGCCGGGGCCCAAAGACCAACAAATGCCCAGCTGCTCACCGACCGACGCTCTCGCCGCTCACCACGACCATTCGCACGCCGTTTGCTCACCACGGCACCGAGAAGGCAGCCCAGCCGATAATCCCCGACACACGCGTGCCCGTGTAAGAAACGTCTGTCCCTCCGTCTCTGTCGGCCTCTGTCTCTCTCTCGTCTCACTCACTCCAGTCAGCCAGTCCGAACCAATAAGTGGAACCATTTCGTTCCATGAGCTCCGGCCTAGCAGCGCCGCAGCGCCCGGCCCCGAGTACCTGCGCCTGTCCCGCTGTCCGCGCGGCCCGCTTCATTTGAATCGATGGGGATCGAGACATCTATCGCCGTGCTGCTATCGATCCATCCATCGATTGAGAGATCAGGCGACAGCTTATACACGAATGACGGCCAGCGGGGCGGCGGCCGGCCCAGCCTGCCCGGCGCTGGCGGCGCATACTGAGGAGGTGGAGCACCGAGCGACGAGGAGGAGAGATAACGGCGACGACAGGGAGAGAGAGAGAGAAGAGAAGGGTATGAGAAAGAGGGAAGCGGTAAGTTTATTGGGCACACTCGATTTCACACGATTTTTCGCATAATTCTACACTTTATCTTGAAGCTACCTCCTTATGGTCTGGTTGAGTAATAAGGAGGTAGGCACCCCCCCCCCTCCATCATTCCCCATTTTCTACTCCATGCACCCCCTCCCGATGGTTGCGACTAATTGTAAATAATGGACCACCCTCCCACGACCTTGCGCAAGGGCCGGCACGCCGTCGCCCGCACTCACAGCATCGCATTCTCTTTTTATTTTTCGCACGCAGCCTGAAAACTTTTTTTTTGACATTATCTTTCGCATCGGCGCGTTTTAATAAGAAGCAAAGGCGCCATTTGGGCGTCGTCGTCTGCTGATTCGGGTGTTGGCGACCGCGGCGCGGCGGCGTGGCGCGGCGTGGCGGGGCACCTGTCGGATCGGACGAGTGGACATTCCAGTCGGAGCACAGACAGCGCAGCCGCCGCCGCCGTGGGAAGAGGCTGAGAGGAGGAAAACTGGCGGAGAAAAACGGGGAGAAATACGCGCGGCCGTGTTTTTGAAAGGACTTTGGCGAAAATCCGTTGGCAATTTAGGTGGCCAGAGGTTCCTTAAATAAAATAAAAATTCTTGCCTCTTGCTTACCCTTCCAGGTTCCCTCATCACCGGCGTCATGCATGGCGGACCAGCACGTCGCCGTCGTCCAGCCTCGTCTTTTTCAAAATCACGACGGGCGATCTCCACGCTAAGTACGCCCGGCCACGGTGCGTGAAGCACACACAAGAGCTCCGCACGTCAGTAGCGAAGGTGTCCGGTTCGGTTGGACTCCCCATCTGCGGCGCATTTTTAGACCTCCACGGGACGGGGCGGGGCGGGGGCCGCCCACCTCCCGACCCCGTCACCAGGGTGACCCATACCGAGACGAGGGGTGCAACTGCAGTGGGCGGGCGCGCGAGATACGCCGCTCTGCCCCGGGCTCAAAGGGAGGCCTCTCCCTGGCTGCTGATGGCGCGCTATGCTCGCTCAGCCGGGCTCGGGTTCGACTCCGCCGCGCGACTCTCCACGCAGGGAATTCCACCAGCTGTGCGAAATCCGAGCGCGCGGGCGTGAGCGTGCGTGTGTCAGAGAGAGACGGGCGCATGGGGAGGGCCGACCGCGCGGGGCCAGGCCAAACCTTTACCTGAGCGCTTCGCTTTTTCCCTAAACAACAAGATAACTGGTGTAAGGGGTTTTGAAAAGAAAAGCCCAACGGTAAGCGCGGCGTCTCGCCTGTCTCACTCCCACTCACACGCCCGGGGAAACGGCTTACGGTCCGCGGGACGGCCGCCGCGCGATTCGCGAATTTCTGAGAAACTTGAGCGCGTCGCCGCGGAGCTAAACGGTCGAGGCGAAAACCTATCCAGCCGTGGCAGTGCGGCGCGGGGCGGGGTGAGACGGGGTGAGGCGGGGTGAGGCGGGGTGAGGCGGTCTCATAAAGCTGATTGAGCGGGGCGTTCCAAAGGAATTAACGACAGTACCTCCGTCCTTGTCGCTCCAATTACCGCGCCCAAGGGGAAGAGAGAGAGAGAGGGAGGGAGGGGGTAGTCGCGGGACAGCCGAGCAGGTGAGTAAGTAAAGCAAAGCGCCGAGATGGAGCGGGTGCGTGAGAGAGAGAGGGAGAGAGAGAGAGAGAGAGAGAGAGAGAGAGAGAGAGAGAGCCCCAGACAACGCCACGGCACGACGCCGTCCAGGCAAAGCAGCCAAGCGTTCTCATTGGATTTTATTACTTGCCCGCCAAGCGTACTCTCGCCTCCCCCTCCCCCCCCCCCCCCCCCCCCCCCCCCCCCCCCCCTCTCTCTCTCTCTCTCTCTCTCTCTCTTTCTCTCTCTTGCACCCTCCATCTGACTATCCCCCTCAGCAAAACGCGCTCAGCCACGCTCAGCAGTGTGCGGGGCGCGGTGGAGGGGCGTGGCGGGGGCGCGGCGCCCTGCCGCGGGGCCTGAGTGGGCGGCGGGCCGCGAGGTGGCGGGGCGTGGTGGGGCGTGGCGGGGTCAGCCGGTAGCTGCAGGGGCCGCGGTCTATACAAGTTCCCTCGCCGAGCTCATATGCACGTCAGGAGGGAGATATACATTGTGCCCCCGGCCCGGCCTTCCCTCCTGCCCGCCCCGCCCAAGGCCAGACACGAGCCAGCTCGCTCGCGCGCCTTGTTAAGAAAAGGGCGTCACCCACCCGCCCTGGTGTTCGAAACCAGGACCCCCATATACCTCGTCCGACCTCGGCACATGTTGCGGGCGCCCCACAAGATCTCTCCATCCAGGGCCTGGAAACGCAATGGCCGAGTCCCGGCCGAGGCGCGATACCGCAACGGGGGAAGCTTATGTGAAAAAAGTATGCATCTACGGCGGAAAGCAAGATGAGATTCAGAAAGCTGATGAAATTTGACGTGTAGTAGGCTATATGCTCAGCCCGAAAGTAATGTTTGTCGTGGTCAAATCCACGAACAAAGTTCCGTCTGCTAGAGTGAGGTTATGTAGGGTCGAAAAACCATGTTTTTTATCAAATTTTCTCCGCGCACTCGTGACAGTGTCATGTTTTATAATAGACGTACTACACGGCAAATTTCATCAGCTTTCCGAATCTCTTCTTGATTTTTACCGGAGATGTATACTTTCTTCACATAAGCTTCCCCCGAACACGCTGTTTTCGCTGGTATCGCGCCTCGGCCGGGACTCGACCATTGCGTTTCCAGGCCCTGCTCCATCCCTGGCCACAGCTAATGCACGCACACGCGCGTGAGCATTTATCTGCCATCACGCCGGGGCAGAAGGACCCCCGCGTTAAAAGGACACGCCGGCCGAGTGCACTCCAGACACGAGGAAAAGGCCTACAGATAAAGTCGCGGCGGTGGTCTTAATTGACCACGTCGAGGAATTTTTAATTTTTATTTTCAAGTTAACGGGTCTTTTACAAAATATTAGGTACATAATGTAAAGACACCAATTTCTTGCGCAGAATCCTTTCGAGTGTAGGGGATACTACATCCACTCTGCATTGGACTTTACGGCTTGCGGAACATTTACTGCATCGTTGTTACACGCCGACTCTATTTTCCAGGGCGCGTCCGCCCGGCCGCCAAGAGAGTTGGCTCTCACAGGCGAATTTATAGGAGGGAGGCCCGGCGTTTCTTTGGCAACTCGAATGCAGAGTAACTCTTTGTAAGTACAATGAGCATGGGCGAGAGAGCGCGAGAGAGGGAGAGAGAGGAGTGAGAGGGAGAAGGGGCTGAAGACCGTTCGGGTCTGCTCGCCTGCCGTTCGCCCCGGGAAATAACACACATTAACACCGCAATGCACCGGCCGGGCCCCGCGCGCCCCGGGGCCGCACTGCTGGGCGTTCCGAGGCGAAATGACCAGGCGACGCCGCACACTAGAGAAGCAATATAGTAGTGAAGGGGTTATAAAAAGCCTTCCAGTCGATTCATCAGTGGGCACGGCACAATCATATAACAACGCCGCAAGAAACGCAGGCGAGACTCGCGCGCGCGCTGCTGCTGTTTACACTGCTTCTTTTTGTGTCTCAGACAATGACGATAATAGAGAAAGAGGTCCACCAGAATATATCGTTAGACGTGCTTTTAAAGACGATAAAAATACAAAAATACTCGCTGGTTTTTGAAGTAACAAAATAAATAGCAATAATAAACCCAGTGGTGCAGCAGTCATTGCAATTACTTTCGTAGTCTTACGCCAATGCGCAGAGATAGAACAAGTTGGAGAGACGAAAAAGAAATAGTTCAGAAATATAATTATTCGGAGAAACGCTGGCGTCAAGACAGCGCTGTAAAAAGGACAGCGACCGCCACATTGAAGCTATTGTTGCACTTGACGCCATAACGAAGCACGCCAAGTTTCTTTTCGCGTATCTTTTCATTCTTCCCCTGCTGCCTTTTCATTTTCTCTAGCGGTGTAGCCCGACTGCTCCGGAGTACATTGCCGCTCTGCTATATAACGGAGAGAGGGCAGCGAATTATATACAGCGAGCGCAGGGCGGTGGCGGGGCGGGGCGCTGCGCACACACTGTGCGGACAAATTAAACACGGAGGCCTGGCCTGCAGCTTCAGTGCATGCACCTGTGCACCTGCGCCTCTGCAGCTGCAGCCAGGCGATGGCCCCGTCTGGCGAGCTTCCGCCACAGCACCCACCCACCTGCAGCTGCGTGTGAGCATAATGGCGACAAGGCCACCTTCATTTCTAAAGAAATAAACATTTTTCCAGACATTTTTTTTGTCTTGAATTTTGCGAAAATTTTGATTCATTTTTTGTCCTTTTATTATGATAAATTTCACCTCCACTCTTATTATTCGACCAGTTATTCGCGCAATGAAAAATAAAAATATGAGACAATGGAGCATTTGCGGTATTTGCCTGCCCCATTGGATTACTCACCGATTTGTTCTCTCTGCTGATGATCTCCAGCGGGGCCTTGGTGCTCGGCTTGCCGAGGTACCAGTCCTGCTGGGGGCTGTAGTCGCCCAACACTCGGACCAGCCGGGGGATGTTCACGTAGTTGTCGTCGTCGAAGTGGCAGAACCACCTGGAAGGGGAGAAGAGATAACAAATGAGAAAAAGAGGAGAGAAAAGCCCACGACGCAAAGAGCCGGCGATAGCGCTACCGCAGAAAAGTTGTATTTCTGCTTCCGACTTCACTGCCGTCAGTCGCCGACTGCCTCCGCCCCAGCCGCCGCAATTACGCGAGAAAAATTACCAGATCGTTGCGAGACATTTCAAGGGGATAAGGTGGAAGGGTTTGACTTTTCCACGACCGTTTCAACGTTTCGGTATTAGAGGAGGGTTCTATTTGCTGTTTGTTTGCCGCCAATCTGGTTCCGCCGAATGGTACGACCTACACGCCCCTCTTCTTCCAGCAGCAGAGGTCAGCCCGGGTCGAGATCGCGACGCGTGCCCAGAGCATGGGCTATTAGCAGCCATAGACGCCGGAAAAAAAACCACAGCAGATCATCGGATTACTTTCAACCAAGAGTTTGCAAACGCATTAAGAAGGGTTACCACGATAACATGTTTTGCAAACTATCAACATAGTTATGATTCCCTGGGCGCTGGGCCGCCCCGCTCTGGACTGCTCTGGACTGCTCTGGATGCGAAATGTAGCGGCAGTGTCTGCGTGCGCGGCTCCTCCGGCGAGGCCTCTGCCGGGGACCCTGCCCACCCTGGCCGCCGCGCCGCCGCGCCGCGCCGTGCCTCGCTTTACAAACTTGTTTTACAGACCAGTTTGATATCTGTATCACATTCCCCGAGCTTCTCATTACCCGGGGGACGTCGCCGGGACGACGGGCGCGGCAGAGGCAGCGGCGGCAGCGGCGGCAGCTCCTCAGCGTCCCGCCGGCCCCGCCCGGGGACCGTTAATGAAGCTGGGAGGGAGACCGGGCGGGCGGGCGGCGAGCGAAAACCCCTCTGGGGCGGGCAGTACCGCAGCGCGCCCGTGCCCGGCGGGGCGGCCTACCCGGAGCGCCTGCGAGGCGGGCAGTCCCGGCGCACCCCTGTGCCCGGCGGGGCGGCCTACCCGGAGCGC